GGCATATCGGATATCGGCCAAAATCCCAATATCGTGCATCCCTACTAATTGATCTTATTGATTAACTAACAATTAATGGCTACTCTGGCAACCATTTCCCTAAAAACCTGATATTTCTCTTGTATCTCTTGGTCGTTTTAACAATATGAAGGGCTAAATGTCATATTTTCTATATGCTAAGTTAAAAAAATAGTATTTTAATAAAAAAAAATTTGTTTCACATTATTAAACTTATTTACATGATTAACAAAGCAGGAAAAAGAGAGTAATTGTGACTGATTTAGAGCTATGATTTAGAGCTATGATTATTAGACAGGGTAGGTCACTCCAACATGCTGTCAGACTAATGAAGTGGAGGCTAACTATAGCATTTTTAGTGGAACCCAATGGTCAGTACTGGGAGAGACTTTTTCTGTTAGCAGCAGGTTCTGGTTGCTCTCAGAGGAATATTTAAACTTGGCTCACTGCAGTGCATTAATACACAAAATCCTTTCCTAATGCTAATTGCTAGCACGTCTTTTTCTCTAAAGTTAAAGGCATTCTGGGTAATGCCCTCTACTTTTTTTCATCACATCCTCAGCTTCCAAGTACAGCAGGGAAGTCAATACCGTTTCATCACTTCAGTGTCTGGATCATCTGTCTAATCAGCTCCTCTTTCCTTTTTTCAGGCTGTGAGAGTGATTTTTGGGGCCCACACTGTACTAACCGCTGCCAGTGCCGCAACGGGGCCAAATGTAACCCAATAACAGGAGCGTGCGTCTGCACTGATGGCTACCAGGGCTGGCGCTGTGAAGAACACTGTGATCCGAACCTGTATGGAAAAGACTGCATGCAAGAATGCCAGTGCCTCAACGGCGCCACCTGCCATCATCAGACTGGAGAGTGCCTTTGTGCACCGGGATACACTGGAGTCTTGTGAGTAGATCTATAAGAGCACATGGTAAGGCCTGGGAGTAAAAATACAGAAACAGAGATGGCATTTTGATATTCCCCAACTATTTAAACTCTGAGAACATCTTTAAATGTATGGAGGATAAAAAGTGCCAAAATTAAATAAATAAATACAGCATTAGATAAA